CATTTTGCCTTTTTTTTATAGAATGTTCGGTTTGTAACACATTTTGTTTATTTAGTCGGATTTGTAAATTAAGATTGGTTCAATGAGCAATATACCCTAAAAGATTTGAGTTAGTATAGTAGTTGAGTCCAACCTCCCAGAAACACGGCAGCTGCTGGAATCGTTGCTTTCTAAACATGTTACCATCACCGTACGGCAGATGTGACTGAATACAAAAGTGTCTCTTACGTAACGCTATTAACCCGCCACGCAAAAGGCACCAACACGCTCTGGTGACCTCGTACAACTCGGTGATCCTTGTCCGGAAGTCACAGCTTGTGGATGATCCCCTGAGGGAACACTTAGCTGCGTTCACTGTCCCCCGTGTCCACGGAGAAACGGCTTCTCTGAGCTTACTTACAAGCTTTCGCCTCACGCTAATGCCGTCACAAGCACACAAGAGGAGGCGGAGTAGTAGTGAAGCCTTTGTTGGTTAGTTAGTAGTTACTGTATCCAATTTGGATCCTGTATGTTTAGCCGATCATCAGTCACGTGGCCATCTATGTTTTAGCCGAGTGACGCTGATGCTGACGTGACATAAAGCTGCATTCTCTCTCGTCCACCAGCGGATGAATCCTCTGTTTTTTATAGAAGTCTTCTTCCCTCTGGATCTATTTCCTCAGTAAACATTGTAAACTTGAAGTTATGGTCTCAATCTCTAGTTGAGGAGGAGAAGGTGGATTTAGTTTTTTTCACCCTCCAACAATTTGTTCATCAATTAATCTCAAGGAGGCAGAATTGCTGTACCACTTTAGCACTATACAACACTTCTCTAATCTGCCCCCCCCCCCTTATAAAACATAAAGGCCATAGAGCATCATCGAGTGTCCAGTGAGAGACACAGGTGAGCACACTCCTAACAGCGGACAGGAGCTCCCCCCCAAAGTGCCCGGAGATTTCTACAATTGTAATATGGAAAACGTAAGCAGATTTCATAGCGTCCTTGTTCCTGCAGTGAGACGCACTGGATCAAGCTTTGACACTGAGGTTCACCACTTAGTGTAGTAATGTAAGCAAGGCTGCTTCAGACTACACACTATTCATTACTCAGGCTCAGTTCAAACCAATGAAACATTAAACACACACACACACACACACCAACTGTAACCCCGCAGCGCCCTAAAACTAACCCTGGATGATTACAGTACCTAAAGGTTGGAACTTGATCAAAAACTGTGATTAAATTACTTTGAAATTGATAGTGGAGCCGGGTATGTACATGGGTGCAGACGTAGGTAAAGATATGGGTGTGGAGCTGGTTACGAACGTTGGTCCGGATGTGAGTAGGGGCTGGGCACGGAAGAGGATGCTGATGTTGCTAAGACATGGTTGGCGTTGGGGCAGATGCATAGAAATCGTTGCTTGTGTTTAACCACAGGTGACAGGGACTACGGCTGGGCGGTGTACCGGTTCAAACGGTATACCGATATAAGATTTCCGCACCGCTCAGAATTTATTTTTACGCATCATGGACGACCGTCCAGCGGTCGGAGCTACTAGTCTTACGTGTGTTGAGATTGAGTCATATAACTTTATAACAATGAGTAATCCACAGCAAACACTCTTTAATGGGGTAAAACGCCACGACACAACAGCTTGTGACACATAAAAGATTTGTAACACTAATAATTGTACATTTATAAAAATGACCCCGCCAAACTGCATGCTGGGTACAGCTCACAAGAAGTAACTCTGTTGCTACATGAAAACAGGGAAAAGAGCGATACAGGAGGAACAACAAGAGACCAGAGATGCACCAACACGACTTGTGCCCAAGAGAGGAGCTGAGTCTGTTTGGAGGGTTTTTGGTTTTGGAAAATCCGGAGTTAGATCAGAAAACGATTTATTGCAAAGTCTGTCGAGCCTCTGATGGCAACACTAGCAGCTACAACAAGCTAACACTAACTAGCTAATAAATTAACAAGCTAACTCGCCAGCCAGCGAGCGGTGAACAGCTGTTCGGGTAGCCCCGGTCCTTTTTGGGGTCAACGAATTAATGTGTTTACTTGAAAAAGAAATAGCTTTTGAAACTTTCTCGGTTTCCCCGTGTGACACGCCACACATCCAATTTCTTATGCTAAATTTCTGCGCTGCCTCATCTCCAAACTCGCCGACGGTAAACGGCGGATCTGTAACACTATTTGCTGCACGTAGCATAACTTACACCCCCCGTCGGCCGAGCGTTCACCCCCGACAATTTCACTCCAAGGTGAAAAGTTTCACTAAAAGTTAGTGAAAAGTTGGCAGCTCTGTAACCATCACAATAACATTACAAAGAAGCCGACGCGAGAGCACTTAATACTAGCATCAATGTCCGAGCGTGTTATAACAAGCTAACATCCCTAACGAGAGGTCTGGCTAGCAGCTAAACTAGCAAGTCAACAATTTTTACAGTCAAACATTAAGCAAGTGCAACACAAGACAAAGCAGACGTCGTCTTTTACCTGGACATTTCCTCTTTTCGAGACCTAAAAAATGCGTCCGGGTAAAAGAGGACGTCTGGTCACCCGAGCTAAGCTAGGCTAAGGCTACTGGTGTTGGTCTGTATGTGGGTGAGCAGTCTGCTACACGAGGACACGTCTCCCCTGATAACTCGCTGTGAGTGACGGCTGCCTGTTGCACGTGTGAGAGCTGCGCGGTCAATGCGTGCAGGCAGCCTGACAGGGAGCGGGACAGTGAGTGACTGCGTGCTTGTTTTAAAGTACTGGTAATAAAAATGTTCAAAACCGCACTGTTTTCAAAGTAAGGGTACCGCGGTACCTTTCTAGTGCCGGTACACTGTGAAACACTAATCGTGATATGGATTTTTTTGGCCATAGCGTGCAGCCCTAATAGGGACTTATTTGGACGTATGCAATAGTAGTGGTATTTATTAAGCAGACACATGTTGTGGTTCCTGTTTAGCCCAAAACAGGATGTATGACAACCTAAAATGAGATTGCTACACTGACTTGCATACTGACCTTTACCTGATCCAGCGCTGATCGGCTGCATTTGTGTACAATATTGGTATCCGAATGAGAACAACTATATTTATCAATGATAAATGGACTGTAATTGTATTGAGCTTTTCTAGTCTTCTGACTGACGGAGCAGGAGCTACCAGACACAGAGCCACCTGCCCATCACTTTCTATCACTCACACATTGTAGTCATATCGACATGCGTGTTAGTCGGGCCTGGCATCGAACTGCCAATCATCTGATTGGTGGACGACTGTGCTCCCCACTCACCCACAGTGGCCGGCAAGGGTTACAAAGTTATGAGCAACTACTTCCCTTGCCAAATGTGATGTAGTATTCCTGGCTAGTTTGGCTCCAGGTCTCACACTGAAGCTGCAGTCAGAACCAGGAAAAAGCCTGACAGTTGGTGCATAGACCAAACTTTCCAACATTACTCATCAGGACTGCAGACAGAAGCTGTGCTCTGTCAGCAAGGTTCTCACGTGGCCCTGATGCAAACATTCCAGGACTTTTCCTTGACTGCATAACTGGGTCAAAGGGGCCTCAGTCACCAAGAAACACTACGGATCAGACTGCATGCAAGTTCCTGTTTGTCCCATCTGAGTGTACTCGAAAGCAAAGAAAGAAATGGTGCTGCTGTGCATTTACACGCTGATTCATGAAATCAGACTTCCACAAAGCAAAGAGAAGGAAGGCAAAATGAGGTAGGATGAGCTTTGAAGCCTTACCGTAGCAAGCAGAAGGTTTTTTGAATAATATGTTATCAGGGAAATCCTTCTTTAAAATAGTACCCCTTAAAGTTTTCACACATTTGTTTAAATAAATGTGTACAATTTTGAAATTCCGGGGAAAGCCGTATGAAAAATGCTGTATCCAAAAGTGACTTCACTCTCGAAGGTTTACTGACCGGCAAAGGGGCCGACTGCCCCGCAGGCCCTCAACTCCAGGCTCACTGTCTGTCAGCTGTCTTGTGGTGATCTCATTGGACATTTGTTTGGAAGCGTGAAGCTCTACGGCACACTAACTGATAGGCGTTAGTTGGGTAAGGCCTCCATTACATAAGGTCTCCTACAGTCAATTATTATCATGAGGCTTCTTTTGGTACCGAGTCCATATTAGACAGTGAATCTGTGGACGATAGTTTTCTAGAATTATTACCCAGGACCCCCTAGCAGGTGAATCCAGCCATGATTGGCACCTTGAAAGGTCTTTTGGATCATACTGTGTGCACACACTCGCTGATATCTTGAATGTTGACAGTACAACAACTACATAAAATGAATACAAGACGACATCTGGAGCTGCGTTTTGACCAGAACTTGCGAGCCAACGTGGTTCAACTGGAGGCGGACATGTCTCTGGAGAACACCCACAACGTACCAATTGCATGTGCTTTTCAGTCTGCCAATCGTAACCTCACCAAGCAAAGTCCTCCAAGATGCAGAGGTCCAGGCGTCACACAGAGCCGGATGGATGTAGTGATCCTGAACTCACCCACAAACAGAACTGTCAAGCAATAGGAATAGGATGTACCCTTGGACAGAATTGGGTGTCTGTACAGAATGCCAGAAAAAAAGTATTTCTTATAGAAGAGATAAACAACGGTAACTACTGTTGAGACAGAGTGCACGGGCCAGAAGCTGCACAAGTACACCTGCGTGCGTGCGTGCATGCGTGTGCACGCGAGCTCCGGTGGTGGTGCAATCCAGTGCCAATCCCTCCCCGACACAGCAGCACGCATATGTGTCACAGCCCGCTGTGGAGAACGCAACCACACGGCCGAGCCAAAGGGCGCAGACACGACCTCTTTGCAGTCATTGCTCCATGTTGCTGTGTGAACGCCGAACAATAGCCGTGTTTTCGACGTGTCTGGGAATGAAGAAGAAGAAGAAAACATAGGTGCCGCGTACCGTCAACGGCCTCAGTGGCGTCTCGGAGCTTCTCGGTGTGACAGGGGGCGATGTTAGCATCGCAGACCCGCTAGTTAGCCGTCCTTACCTGGGTGTCCAGCTCCGGAAAACAAAGGATGCTGCTGCGGTTTCTCCCCGTTACGTTGATGCGTCTGGTCGGCCTGACAGCATCCTGTTCCCAGCCAGCAGATCCCCGTCAAGCTGCGGGACACGAATACAAGCGCTTCCGCTCAAGACTTTCACAATAAGGGCCGTCGATTACAATATCGTAACTAATAGTACTATTAAAATAAGATAGGTCCTACATTTGAGGAACACAATTCGAAGCCTATTTTTGTTCTTTGCTATGTTGAACAAAAACGGAAAGTGAAATTAAAATATAATTAGGTGAGTCACTTAATTGTTGTTGAATGCAACAACCAACATTATGTGAATTACCTTCGCGATGTGAATCAAATCATGCTCTTGTGTTCTAGTAATACCGGCTAGCTTGAGACCGCTGCCACCAGATTAGTCTTTGCAATGAGGCGAAGGAGACGGATGGATGCAGCCGAGCGGGGGAGCAGCGGGGGCCCGATGCCCTTCACTGCATGTCACATGTCCACTGCAGGCATTTCCAATGTCAACATCTAGATATTTTATGGTATTCTATTTAGTACAGCTGTATGCTTCGTTGTATTTTCATTACATTTAAGTACATCTAATTGTTAGTCCTCCCCTCTGTAGAGGAATGGCTTGGTCCAGTCATTAAAGGGCCAGTGCGTGTCTTGTCTTTGACAGCTCTTTGGACAGCAGACCGCTCAGAGCAAACGAGGAACGTCTTTACCATTTACTGTTAAGAAGAGAACAAATTAGCAAAGGATATTCATTTTTGAATGGACATCGTGTGCTTATTGTTGCCACAGTTTTCTTCTTTTGCTCTGGGATGGTTTTTCAGGTGTTAGGCGAGGACTTCATGATCCTAAAGCAGAGGTCTTCAACAGGGGGTCTGCGACCTCCAGGCAGTCCGCGGAGGTACTGCAGGGGGGGTCGCGAAATTTTTGGTTGATAAGACCTTTTTTTTCCCCCCAAACAATTTTTTTTTCCACAAATTTAAATGTCTTCAGATTAAGAATTGTATTTACTGTCTTTAAATACACATTAACATGAATCCAACATATTGTAGCGAACAGATAAGTTGATGGAGAAGACTCTTTTAGTCCGCAACAGACACATTCAGCTTCCCACAGCAGCTCTCTCAAGCTGGGCACCGGTTCACTCACAGCACCTTTCATGCAAATACGACAGCACAGGCACCAGCCAATCAGATCGCGTTTAATACTCATTGTCTGAAGAGCGCGAAGCTCAAAAATAAAAGACGTCGGCCCAAAAAGCTCAGTTGCCCTCCCTGCCTGGTAAACGTCCACACCCCTCAGATCCCAAAGTTAAATATTTAGAGGCAGGTTCTTCTTCAGAAATATTTTGAAAATAATTGTTGAACAATAGTCTTGAATACCCTGGCAAACTAAGGACATAACCATCTGTTATTTGGCTGTCACACGATTGTAATACGCCCCTCCAATCATTACATCAGCAGTGGCCATGTTTGTTGTTAACGTGCATTGTGACGGTTTGAGCCGGGGGAGCGATTCCGGAGAGAAAGGAATGGCATGCGTCAATGTTGCCGATTTGGCAACTTGCTGGATTTAGCATCTTTTTGAGCTAGTACTTTCATTGTAAAAGAGTTCGCATCAGCTTAGCTTATCATAAAAAATAAAAGGAATAGCACCTGTGGAAAAGAGGTCATTATTTATCTATGAAGGGGACCTTAGTTACTCCCTTGATACAAGTGCTTTGGTTGATCATGTTGCCCTCTTCTATCCATAGTACCAGTGAATCACCATGTGTAGGCGTTTACGGCCGTCTGTCCTCCTGAACGTGTTACGGAGAGCTGAACCAAAGCCAATGCGATTACATTTGCCTCCGTGGGGAGTTGAGTGTGTTTCTGAATTCTATCTAATCAAATGAGATGGATGCTTCGGACAGAAAATATAAGTGACTTTACACTCTGAAATCAATTACTGTGTGAACACAGAGGGGCAGAGGGAGACGCAGAGGGAGAAAGGTAGAGAGAGAGCGAGAGAGAAAGCCACAATAAAGACGGGGAAGGTTAAAGGACAGTAGGCACTTCGGCCTGTGATATGTGTGGTTGTGATGTGGATCATTTCACAAATGGATCCTAAATCAGATTTGTTAGATTCTCTGCTGACCTTTGCCTCATATCTGTCAGAAAAAATACAAATATGCATTTTTTCCATTCTAGTGACGATAAACAGATACATCTGTTCCATGTGCACATCAGCCCTCTCCTCGGCCATATCACTTGCAACCTGCCAAGGCAGATATGAATGGTGGTCTTTGGCCTTAATGAAGCACACAGGGAATAAATACATGAAGCAGACTCCAGTCCCTTTTCACTGGGCTGCACTAGTAGGAGGCTAGAAATGTAGGGGTTGAGTTTTTAAAACAAAACCCCTTTTTCGTGCCCTTGTTTTCAGCCAATTGCACTATTGTAACTCCTCATGCACAGTAAATCACTTGAGCACTTTAAAAAGGCTGCTGTCGCGATAGTCACAAGACCAGACCAGCTTTGAACGTTCTCAGTCGGTTAAATAACCTTTTGTAGTTATCATTGGGAGCATAGATTTGAGGCGTTATGGCCAGACTCCACCTTGTGATTGTGGCTACCATCTTTTGGCCGACTGGATCACCGGATAGATTACAGCTCTAGTGGCTGTAGTAAATGTGATAGCAGCCAAGGAGGGCGGAGGGACTCTATGGTGTGAAGAGCTCAGTCAGAGATGGAGAAGAGAAGAGGGGATGTATGCGACAAACAAATGACTGAGGAGAGAGTTTTAATGTCCTATATGAAATGAAAGGTTAACTTTGTTATGTAACGTAGGTTAACTTACATGAGGGGTGCCCAGTTGGGTAATCGCCAAGGCAGTACCGGTAGATCCCCTGCCATTGATCATGCACGGACACATTTAATTTAATTCAAAAGCAATACAGGCCGACTCCAATCACTTCACGTCATCAAGTAAAGTAATGACAGAGAATGTGTGTGAATGGTTGTGACGGCATGCAGCGCTGTTTACCCCCCCACCCCCGCCGTCGGCCAGTCCTTGGAGGAGGGGGGTAGATCGCCAGGACTTGGTTGGTTGAAAAGGAGCTGACGAGCCAGAACAGTGTGAGCACCACTGACTTACATAACAACTCTTATTTAGTTGCACAAAGATTCCAACTCTGTAGATTCCCCTCCAGCATCAGGTTTGGACACGACGGTTCATGTCTTTTAAAAAATAAAACCTCTGTCTTTACATGGAGTTAAATTTTAGGCAACAAAATGATGAGGTTTGGAAACGGCAGAGTGATGAAATTGACAGAATGTCAATGAGTCGTACTAAACAAGAACAGTGGTCTCCTGGATGGAAGTCCTGCGTTTGCTTGGCTCCTCTCCCCCGTTTCATGTGAACATCGATGAAGGCTGGGTTTACTGCAGCTGAGAAGGCTGCGCGCCGCCATCAGAAGCCGAGCGGCGCTGCAGCTGCCTGTTTAGGATAACGTGTCAGGCAGACGGGAGGTTACGTAACATACTTAAACTTATGTGGTAGAACTTACATGTGTAAGGGGTGCAGACAAGTGTGTGGGTTCAATTGCACGACTCGGAGACACAAGAAGGTGCAGTTAACCAATTTTACTGTTGGATGGCAGTACAAACACGGGTGTAAGAATCCGACAGGAGGCAGGCAGGTGCAAAGTTCGTAAACGTTCCGGTCCAAGGTCGGTACACGGGCAGGCAGTCGATCACCAGGCAAGGTATCCGGCAGGGAAAAGGCAGAGACGTAACTCGTTAACCAGGCAGGGGTCGGTAACAGGGAGGCTATCAGGAGTAAATGCTGGAACGCTAGGAACATTGTATCAAAGACGAACTGGCAACAGAGGACAGGAACCCACAGACTAAATACACCGGGTGATGAGGGCCAGGTACAAACAATCAGGGAGGGGCTGACAATCACCCAGGTGGAACCCACACACCTGAGGGAGGGAGTGAGGAGTCTGAAACGAGAGGTGAGTAAACAATAACACATAACCGAAGAATTATAAATAGCCCGCCAACTTAACTTAATACTCAGGGCTGGACATAACAACATGTTTTACTTGAGATACAAAAAGTAGAAACATACACACGAGTAGCTTTGTTCACTGCGTTTATCAAATGTTAGGTGCAGTTGGCCCACTTTTCTCCATCTGAAGCATAATAATCACAGTGGGGGATTTTTGGGGAGTTAATATGTGAAACAGCTGCCCAAGAGGTGGAAAATGCTTGGGCCTCCTCAGACTGGTTACTGAGGAGGGATGGCGTCATAATCCAAGCCCTGTCTGCGCTCTCCCCTTTCAGGTAAAACAAATTACATCTCTGTTCACCTTCAAAAGGAAATATACTGATATATATTTTTGAACTGAACAATAAAATCCACATTTTCAATAAATTTGGTCCAAAATAAATCAGCATGTTTATTAGGTTGTGTTTTTTCCTCTGGCTTGGTCAGTATTTGTATCCCCACGTGACCCCCATAGACAGTTATGACCCGGCGCCGCTCCTCGACTGCGCAGGCGTTCAAGCTGTCAGACACAATGTTGAAACACGCGGAGACATCAGATACTAAGCCAGGGATTCCACCAGGTGCCCCTGTACTTGTGGTGGGTCATATGCATTAGAAGCCATTCAGCTCCATGTTTTGTTCTTCTCAACAAGCTGCGCTGAGCAGGCGGCTCTCCACAGATGGACGGCACGGAGCTGTGGAGAGTCGGCGAGTGTGCGCTCGCTTCTCTCAAAGACGGAGCTGTTTCTCTGCCACGACACACACACACCCAGACACACGTACACACACGTGCACCGTTTCTGGGGCTCGGTGTTGTCATGTGGGCAAACCCCCACACTGTTACCTAGCAACGGTGGAAAACTAGGCCCGTCATCACAGACTCTCACATAAGATGAGGCCGTGTGGATGCTTGTTTTGGAAATAAAAGTGTGAACCTCTCCGATGGGGAGGGGATTGACCCCGCAGATTGCCCTTGTTGTTGTGGGGGGCCCACATACCACCAGGGGAGCGGAGTTCCTTTTTTTTTTTTAAAAAGTTTTTCCCAAAGCCACGGGCAGGGGAGCTCCTTTCATCACCCGGGCAGTTTTATTTAATTCTTCCGGGCCCCCCCCCCCCCCCCCGCTCCCCCTCCTGTCCTATAAATGCCCACCAGTGTATATCGTCGGTGTGGAAAACATATGCTCTTGTTATTATTATTATAATAATAGATGGA